CTCCCTGCTCCTCCTTAATCTCTCCCCCTCCCTAATCTCAGGGGAAACAGGGTTACCTTTCTTCCCCATCCTAGACAGAGTTGTCTGTCCTTGAGCACACACCCACCACAGGAAGGAAGTCATACAGACTCTGGGATGGCATCAGAAGATCTCAGAAATCACTATCTCCCAAATTAACAAGGAATGGCCACTCCAACAGAGAACATGGGGAATGTAGCCTTTGAATCCCTCTTTAAAAGCCCCCTGTTCTTGCTGATAGTCAGAATCACAGCTTCTGGGACAGGAGTCCCCCCAAGTTTCTCCTTTGCTAAAAAAGCAATAAACCTTTCTTCTTTTTTCTCAAAACAGTGTCCTCGTTACTGGATTGCACTGGGAACAAGGACTGAGCTTTTAGTAACAATCTCTGTTTTGAAATATTTATCTAACCTTGACAGGGACCCTGGAGCTTCTGATATTCCTCAGTATTTTTTTTTTTTTTTTAGAATTGTTTTGGCTTCCTTTCTTACTCCATCCTACCCATCTCCCCAGATGGAGAAATACACCAGGCTTCAGTCAGTTCTTTCCTTTTAGTTGTATTTCTTTTACTGCCCTCATTTTGTCCAGTATTCAGGCATCAAAGTTTCTGGTCTTAACTCTTTCATTTGTAACTGCCTCTGGAGTTTTGATTCTATATCTCCACTTATATGCTTGATATCTTCATTTATATCTTTGACAGATACTACAAATTCAACCTGACATTGAACACATCTTTTGCCCAAATTAATGATACCTCCTGATGTATTTATGCAATACTTATGTTCCTGTCATTTTTAATTTCAACTCATCTCAAACTATGTAAATCACCTCTGATTTCTCCTCTCCTACCTTCCATATTTCATTTGTCTTCTTTTGTATTTTCTTGCACCTTTCCCTCTCTTCTTTGCATTTTAAACCATGCCTGGGCATAAGCCTTCCTTAGTCCATTATCCAGGTTACTACAGTTGCTTTCAAAGTGTTTTCTAGATCCCAGGATCTCCTCTTAATTAATCTTGAATGTTACCGCCAAGTCAGCTGACTCGCTCATTAATACTGCCCCTTTATTACAATAACTTGAGGCGTCTTACAGTTTGCCCTTACACTTTTCTACTCAAAAACTCTAGGTGACTCCTGAGTTTGAAATTGGGATCTTGGAAAATGTAAATCACTTTTACTTTTGTTTCACTTACAAATAAGCAGACTGAGGCTGCTGCTGGGTGTGAATGGCACCCGGTTGCCTCTCCAGCTCTGTATGGAGGTGTGCCTGATATTTGGTGGTTCTGAAAACCTCCTTTGAATGAAGAATTTGCTAGGGGCTGGGGATGTGGCTCAAACGGTGGCACACTCGCCTGGCATGCATGCGGCCTGGTTCGGTCCTCAGCACCACATACAAACAAAGATGTTGTGTCTGCTGAAAACTAAAAAATAAATATTAAAAAATTCTCTATCTCTCTTAAAAAAAAAAAAAAAGAATTTGCTAGGTCAGAGCAGCTTTAAACTCCAGCGTCCCTTCCTTTTCAATTTTGTTTGGCTTGTCAGAGTTGAACCAGGGAAGTAGAATAAAATGAAACCTATTAAAGACTTCTAATAATCTGCCCCTCATCTGACTTTTCAGTCCTCTATTTTCTTGCACATATGAACTTATTTCCACCACAAATACAATGTGAACCTTTTTCTTCTTCAACACATTGCTGTCCTGGGTTCCCTGCCTCCAAGTCTCTTTTCAAATTTTACTCTTTAAGCCCCGGATATTGCCCTATATTCTCTGAGAAACTTTTCCAACTAACTCAAAGTAGAGTAATTTCTACTCTTTCTGAATTTTTCTAACAGCTATTTAAAGTGTCATTTATCCACACTAAATAAAACAAATGAAACCACTTATTTATTGTCAGCTTTAACCTTTCTTTCCAATTACACATTGCTTTTGAGGGCCAGGGCTGTCACTTATGTTTCCAAGTCTAAGCACTTCACAGTTGTGTGGTTGGTTCATGGTTGTTGCTTAATGAAATGGTGGTGCCCATAGAAACACCTTCCCAGGGAGGCTGAGTGTCTGCTGCTGGTGAATTGACTGGTGAGATTGGTATGTGTTTGGGTTCATGAGAATCAGTGAACCTCCTTCTGTTCCTTTGGTGGTGGAGGATCCTATGATCCCAGAAGCATGTAGGAGAATAGTTGTGAAGGGACTAGATGAAAGAATGTGAATAATGGAGGAAAAATAACCAGAATTTTGACCACTTTTAGGCTGTAGGACCCAAGTAAAAGGAAATTTTAAAACATCCTTTCCTTCCATGTATGGGTAACTCCACCTTCATATTCAAAGCACAGCAAGTAATTAATCTCTCATATGCAAGGGAACAAAGCACATGAAACCAACTTGGTAAATGTTTGAAGGTGGTTAAAAAAAATAACAAAAATAAAACCAAACACATGAAAAGCAGCATTAGTACTTATTCACACTTTGGGAGTCCAGAACTTATTAATCATGAATGGAATTTTGATAAACAAAAAGTTTTGGAAATAAAGTTTAGGGATCACGTGATTTTTTTCTGTTGGGTTAAATTAGCCATCACCGGGGAAAACTGCAAATGCTGAAGGGTTGATGTCCATCCTAAGAGATGCATGTGACTTATGTTCCCTTTAGGTGAATTTGAGATGTGAAGCATTTAATCAACTTGATCCTACTTTTTAATCACTGCTCTAAAAGAAACTTAAAAAAAAAAAAAACTATTGATTAAATAAAAACAGCAATAGATACAATCTGCCCCGAACAAACAGACCTTACATCAATAAGTGAATACTTAGCTTAAGCTATTCTCCACGAGACTCATTAAGCATTTCTAATTGAAAATTAACAAGCTCCCACCCAGCAAACACTCTAATCTTCAGCTCTTCAGTTCTGAAAGGGAAAGGTGATGCAAGATGTAGAAGCTTTTTAATGTAGCTGGAAGGGAGAGTAACTGTGCAGTTGTGTGGTATAATTTTTTTAATTGCTGAGGTATCATTGTTTGTTATTTTACATTTATTGAAAAATGTAAATAGCACATTTAACGGAATAGCAATAAGCCTTTTTTCCAATCTGATGACTTAATCTTACTAATCATGATAATGTATTCTAGCTGGAGTTGGGGATATTTAATAAAATACTGCAATAAATTTGTTGTGCTTTCGTTTCAAGGGAATTAATAAAAGTAGCTTGTCTGCAACACTTAAAACTTCATTGCCTTTATATTTGTGTGAGACAGTGCAGGGGAGATCACCAGTGAGAATGCAGGTACCTCTGTGAAGAGATTAGTCATGCGACACATGTGTGGGTGGGCAGGGACTGAGTTATAACACACTGAATAGGAAGGTAAAAACATTAGCTGTTAGCAAGATTTTTCCTTTGTCTGGGCTTTCCATTTTTGAGTCACCTTTATGTACATTTATTTTCATTCGAGCACCATAATCCTCTGAAGTGACAGGTCAGACAGTCCATCCTCCTTTTATAGAAGAGAAAACTTGAGCTTTGAGAGATTGCTCTGTTCTAAATCACAAAAGTGGCATCCAGGGCTTCTATGTCAGAAAATGTATATCAATTATTCACCAATCCTGTATTTATATGTAGGTACATGTATATATACACACACATGCATATGGCCGTCCTGGCACCTAACGTTTGTCCTAAGGGCTTTATGGCAACTGGAAAATTGTTATAGCACTATTTTGTTGTAGGGGTTGGGAATGATTGTGCAAAATCTCCTTTCCCTTTCCCTCCATAGAAAAGGGAGCAAATGTGGGACCCTGGGAGCCTTAGGCTCCAGTACAGCTGTGTTAGTGCACAACTTTGCCTAGGTAAGTTTCTTGCTAAGTCGGAACTGAAAGCTGAAAAGTGACTGTATATAAAATGAATGGGAAAGGGTAAAAACAGTTGATGAGATGTACTCAAAGTCAAACCTTTTTTTAAAAAAATATTTATTAGATTTTTTAGGTGTGGTTGGACACATGCCTTTATTTTATTTACTTATTTTTATGTGGTGCTGAGGATAGAACTCAGAGCCTCACACGTGCTAGGCAAGCGCTCTACCGCTGAGCCACAACCCCAGCCCCCAAAGTCAAACTTTGGTGGTTTTGTTTTTGTACCTTTTTCTCCTTTTTTCCCCCCAGAAGAACAATCAACATTTGTGATTTGAAGTTCACTAGGGAATTCCGAGATCCATTTAAAGAACTAGTGCTAGTTTAAAATGGTTAAAAAGTGAGTGGGGGTGGGGGAAGAAGCAAAATCCTAGCGCAACCCATAAATCTATTTTGCATCGTCTTTCTAAGGCTTCTTAGACAGCGGGGGGGGGGGGGGGCGGCGGCAAGGAAGGGCCACCCCTCTCCTGGTGCCAAGGTGGGGTGCATCTCTCTGAAAGCACCTTACCTAAGGGAAAATCTGCCACATAACCTTTCTCTAAGCACAAGGCAAAGTTCCAACGTGGCCCTCCCTCTACAATGTCAAGACAATTCCTAGCAATGTCAAAGTCAATCCGAAGCTTCCCTCGTCCTCCAAGTCGGAGAAAAGAGAAAGCAGGTGCTTGCCCGCCGGTGGGCTCCGAGAGGGCCCCGCGAAGACCCCGCGCCAAATGGGGGAAAGTTGGGCGCCACTGTTTCTCCGAGGAGGGCTCACTGATGGCAAAGAGAAGGTGGTGCTCAGAACTTGAGCGTCGCGGAAATATCCTGTGGGGCTCCCATGAGCTGCGAGGAACAGGTGCCCTTCCTCCGACGTCCGGAATCGACACTGGCCGCACTTGACCGGCTGTCGCGCTGCGTCCCGGGGCGCCCCTCGCCCTTTGCGCCCCCGTCCCCCCTCCCATACCAGGGCGGAGGGAGGCGCCTGCTCATAGGTAATTATTGCCAGCGGGGCCCATGGGGAGCGGGGGTGGGCGCCGGCTGGGGCGGGCGGGAGCTGAGCGACGCGGGCATAAAGGGGCACGGCGCGGGGCCCCAGCACCAGGTTCCCGCGCAGCATGCCGGCCAGCGCCCCTCCGTGCACCCCGCGGCCTCAGCTGTTGCTGCTGCTGCTGCTGGCCCTGAGCGGCCGCTGCCTGCGCGCCGAGCCCGGCGACGGCGCGCAGACCTGGGCCCGCTTCGCGCGCCCTGCGTCTCCGGAGGCTGCAGACCTGCTCCACGACACTTTCCCCGACGGCTTCCTCTGGGCGGTGGGCAGCGCCGCCTACCAGACCGAGGGTGGCTGGAGGCAGCACGGCAAGGGCGCATCCATCTGGGACACGTTCACTCATCACTTTCCGGGGACCCTGGGCGATCCCCCGACAGCTGATCTGCCGTCGGGCGCTCCATCACCTCCCCCGCCCGCCACAGGGGACGTGGCCAGCGACGGCTACAACAACGTTTTCCGAGACACAGAGGGGCTGCGCGATCTTGGAGTCACCCATTACCGCTTCTCTATCTCGTGGGCGCGGGTGCTCCCCAATGGCAGCGCGGGAGCCCCCAATCGCGAGGGGCTACGGTACTACCGGCGCCTGCTGGAGCGGCTGCGGGAGCTGGGCGTGGAGCCCGTGGTCACCCTGTACCACTGGGACCTGCCCCAGAGCCTGCAGGACGCTTACGGCGGCTGGGCCAACCGCGCCCTGGCGGAACACTTCAGGGATTATGCCGAGCTCTGCTTCCGCCACTTCGGTGGCCAGGTCAAATACTGGATCACCATCGACAACCCCTACGTGGTGGCCTGGCACGGCTACGCCACCGGACGCCTGGCCCCAGGCGTCCGGGGCAGCCCGAGCCTTGGGTACCTGGTGGCGCACAACCTTCTTCTGGTGAGTGCGAGGGGGAGAGAGAGGGTCTGAGAGGTGCCAGAGGCACGAGGGGCGCCTGAGTCTCCAGCTCTCACACGAGGCCTCGCTTGAACTGCTTTGTGGGGTCACTCAGGATTCGCACCTCGCGAGGCAAGTGAGCAGCTTGGGCTGTCCTTGAAGGCGTGGAGTTAGGACCTGCAGGGAAGTCCTTCAGAGAGCGCGCGAGTGAGTGCCCCTTGGAGCGCATTTATCCAAAGGAAATAGGAATCAGTTTCTCCTGTAAGGAAAGAGGACTTTCTCTGGTGTTGAGGAATTCTAGAGGGAAGAGTGGCAGGGATTTCCTTGTGGCAGCAGTAGGGAGAGAAGGAGGAGGATGGATGAAAGCAACAAGTGCGTTCACAAGCCACTCAGACGGGCGGGCATTGCAGTCAGCCAGAGATCAGTGTTAATCCGTTAAAACCTTTTTTACTTGAGGCTCAAGGGCACACTGCTTCAAATGCGAAGGTGTCAAATCCGCACCTCTGGGAGGGTCGGGTTTAACCCGTGTTTGGAGATTCCTTCTGCCCTAGGGCAGAGGACAACATTCACACCAGTACCTTACTCAGTCACCAAGGGTTTGAGGACCCCTTTACACAGTCTTAAGCAAAGCTAGGCACATAAACAATACAGAACCAACTGCAGGATGGTATAGATTGTGTCTGCAACATCTGTATTTCCCCAATGCTGTCTCTAGTTGAAAGGATTCCTAACTGATGAGATTATTAGCCTGACAAAAGTAATTTTAATACCCTTGTGCAAAAGATCTCATATATTTTGACAGCAGGATATATTGATATGCCATGATAAAACTGTCTCTCAATTATTGCTTCCTCCTTTTCTGCTTAATGTTCAAATTCCTATTGGTTTGAGGGCTCATGCCAGTCCTTTCGGTACCCCTTTTGGGTGACTTGTGGATCTACTGGAAGATATATTTTTCAATTTAGAATAAAGCCACATATTATGAACAAATTCAAGATGAAGACTTTCTAAACACTTTTAATGAAAGCCATAGATAAGTGAGGCAGAACAGTACTGGGTTATTGAGTTGCTTTAGTGCTCTGAGCTGCTGGTAATGTAATAATGGGGAAATTAGATTGCATGTCTGCTTCACAACCTTGTTTGTTACCATCGGTAATGCAAGAATGTCAAATTTATTTGAGAAGTTGTGATTTTGCTGATCATATTCATACACACACACACACACACACACACACACATCTTCTCATAGGGTTACTTCTTAAATTTTTTCTTCTGTAAGTCCTTTTAAGGAACCAATAAGCTCTAAGCATCACCAGTTGATGGTAGGTAGTAGAAAAACTATGGGTAGAACTGCCTCATCTTTTGAAGAAAACTTAAGCAAATGGTCAGTTCATGCCACAAACAAATAGGAGATTAGTGGACTAGCTTGGGGGGATCTGATACACCAGTCTTGTAAAATCACTATTTAATATTTAAATGATACAAGATCTATTTTTAGAGTGCATACAACAAACTATATGTACACAAAAGTAGTTGGTTGTTATTATATTGACCAAAGATCATTGCATTTATAAGATAAGGAATTGCAAGAACTCTCTGGTGTTCTGGTATTTCAAATGATTAACACATTTTAGGTTCTTGCGTCCACTCTTGACCCTGTGGTTAACTTTTCAGTTACATTTTTGAGGAATTACACAAAAAATTGCCAACACTAACCATCCGTCCTAGAAATGCAGTGGACTTTGTATTCATAAGAAATTAGTGACTGATAGACACTAGGCTTGGTTTTGCTGATGCTGCAAACACAATGTTAGTTGTTGTAAAATATTAAGTTTCCTTTCAAATTTGTTTGAGCTCGGAATTTAGGCATTTTTGTATCTCATTTAGAAGTTGCCATTATTTAGGAGGGTATCTTAAATTTGCTTTGTTGTGTGAAATTCTTTAATTCTGTTTTCAATGTTCTTTCTAGATGTGTGTAGTGGGTAGAGGGTTGGATAGTTCATTTTTTACCTTATCTGAAAAAGAGAAAACTTATTCTGCAGATTTTGGTAATAGAATATTTCTGCTGAGGCTAGATGTTGCTTTTGTGCAGAGTTAGAGACCAGGGAGCCCTTAGCATATTAATTACCATCTGGGGATCTAATGCTGGTGAAGGACAAAGCTGGCCCACCCCACCCCACACCTCTCTGTTTCCACTAATTTTCAAGTGGCTTAGGAATACTGGGGAGAATGGACAGTTGAACCCCACAGAGATTCCAGAATCCTTGTCTGATGGCCTGGAGGTTAGGAGGCAGGGCAAACAAACAGCAGGACAAATAATGGGGGACTCTTCACAGTGGAGGTCTCCATGATCCTCTCCCGGGTTCCTGGTATAGGCATGAGCCTTGACAAAACTTGTGTGTTGGGGAGGATGGGGTGGGGTGGGAGAGACACCTTCAAGAGGAATTTCTCTGCTTCTCTGGCTTAAAAATGGTCTGCTCAGCTTTCATGGCTCTTGAAATAGGGTTCTTGATGTCCTTGAAAAACCAGCATTAAGTTTTGGAGTCTAGCCCCAGGAGCACTTTTGAGATTTTGTTTTGCCCCTGGGTTTCTGAGAGGATCAAAATCAAGTTGAAGATACAAGTATCTCTAGCCCTGCCTGCCCACAGGAGATGCTTGTCAGTACTGACTGGTGTTCAGTGTAGCATGAAAGCTCCTGTCTTGGCTCATCTGTCCTGTGCAGCATGCATCTAAGCCTCTGCACATCTAAAGCCCCCCTTCTTGCCACACTTCCTCAACTTGGCTTCCAGACCCCTGCTCTCTCGTGTTTTTCTTCTTAGCTCCTTAGTGATTCCTTTTCCTTCTCTGTTGTTTCCTCCTTTTCACTTCATCTGGAAAGAGTGGAGGGTCCAGGGCTGTGTCCAGGGCATCCTGTCTAGATTTACTCTAGGGATCCCATTGTATAGTCTCTGTATCCTGACAATTCCAAATTTTGTGTCTCCAGCTGGGACTTCTCCCCTGACCTCCAAACCTGGAGAGATAACTGTCTTGTCCTCTTAGCTGTCTAATGGGTGAGTTACAAGTAACACGTTTAAAACCCAATGCCTGCTGTACCCGCCTCTGTTATGGTACTTAGCTTTTCCTGTTTGTTGGGCCCCAAATCTCAACTCTCCCCTTTCTCTCACATCTGGGTGATAGGAAGAGCCTCCTACCTGGAGCCCATGCTAATGTCCTTGCTCCCTGCAGTCCCAGTTTGTCACTGTGTGTGAACAAGACAGGTTTCTGCTTGTTAAAATCCAACCTATTCTTCAAGAACCAGCAAGCTCACTCTTTTGGCTCCATCCCTGAATGCTACCTTTCTCTTCTCTGGAATCCCACAATACATTGCTTCACTCTGGTGCCTCTTACCGCATTTCCTCTTTTATTTAACCACTAGCTGGACAGTTCCTTAAATGGGGGAGCCTTGTTCCCTTTACCTGCTTCTCCTAAAATGGTATCATGCCCTTGGTAGGTGCTCAGGGGGTGGCTTCTGGCTACTGAATAACCTTGTTTTGCCTTTATAAATTTGTGCTTCTGGGATTTTCTCTCCTTGCCAGTCTTTCTAGCCATTTTTCAGTGGAACAGGAAATACCAAATCCTATCCAGATAGAAAAACCAGTGAACATAATGATGTAGCATCTGACATTTACAGTGAATATTTAAGGTTCATCACCAAATTTATGACTCCATTGTAAAAACTTCCAATCTAAAACTATCTATATTCACTATATAGAGCATTATGAGATGTTTTCAAAATGGGGTGAGTGGTAAAGTCTCTTGGTTAGCTTTAGGCATATATGTATTTGCTATCTGGTTGAATTTTCATTCCCCAAGTAATAAGTGTAAGCAAATCATCTACTACATGTATGTTCAAATTATATATACTATGTACTTTTAGGAAGCACTTTACAAATTTTCCTCTCATTAAAATGTATGTGGTACATGGCTGGGTTCAAAGGTAATGTATTTTGTAGAACATGACTGAATGCAATCCCCACTCAATCAGAATTAGTTTAAATGTTTTCCAAAGAGCTTGACTCACTCCTCTTTGAATAGCTGATTGAAGACAATATTTTCTGAAGATTACAGACAAATCCAAGAAAAAATTTAAAATAGGAAAAGAACTAATAAAATAATGTTAAAAATCATAGCACTACTTTAACAACATCAATTATTTTGAGTTGAAGATGGAAAATGTAAACTGATAAGCATCTAAATAAGGTCAGTGTGCATTTCTCAAGTGTAAAATGAGTGAACCGTGACACCTGCATATGTAGTCAGTCACAGCTTTGCACACAGGAACTTTCTGAGTTATCTTAGTGTTTCAAAAAGATATCATTGCTCTAAACCATAATTTTATTATAATCGATTTGTGCAAAAGGTGACTTTCTTTCAGTGAAGGTTATGTTTTTTAGATATAAAGGAATTTTAGGTGTAGGAGGACATAGAACATATGTCTATTGGGAGGGTAGCAGATAAAGAGGGGGTGACTAAAAATACCTATTGTTATTAAATCCTCCAAAATGCACATCTTCTCCAAAAATGTTACAGGAAACATTGTACTTGTAACCTATATTTAAATAGAACCATAATATACATTTTATATGCTCTATTTTGTGCATATTTTATATGCACAGTGGTACAAAGTTAATCTGAAGGATATATATATCTCTTCTCCCCTTCATCTTGGATAAACCAGTTTATTGTCCAATTTGGGGACAACAACTGGCAGAGTGGATCGTTTACTCATCTGTGGCTATTTGAGGGCACAGACTACATATCATATTTATTTTCAAATTTTTAGTGTTTATGTCAGTATTTGACACAGAGGAACTATTCCATCTACTTCCAATGAATAAATAAATGTATATGCAAAATATTTTCTGCTTATTTCAATATGTCCATTTTCTTGTAAGTTAAATGCTTATAGTTTGCTTTTTCCTGCTTTATCTTGGGAGAAATTTTACAGTGAGGAAAAATAGTGA